ACTCTGCCAGAGGGTGTAGATGATTCCGTAGTTTACTGTGATGCTTCGATCACAGGCATGGGAGCAGTTTTGATGCAGTGAGGTCATGTGATAGTTTATGCTTCGAATCAGCTGAAGTCTCACGAGGCTAACTATCCGACACATGATTTAGAGTTGGCGGCTGTGGTGTTTGCCCACAAGATTTGGCGGTATTACCTCTACGGGGTCCGTTGTATCATTTACACGAACCACAAGAGTTTGAGGTACCTCATGGATCAGAGGAATCTTAACATGAGGCATCATCAGTGGTTAGATGTGGTGAAGTACTACGATTGTGAGATCCTTTACCACCCGGCCAAGGCCAACGTAGTGGCCGACGCCCTGAGCTGCAAGGCAGTAGAGGCCCCAATCCGAGACATCTTTCTAAGAATAAAAGTGATTACTCCATTGTTGGAGCAGATCCGAGAGGCGCGGGTTGAGGGCCTGAAGGAGGAGCATCGGAAGTGCAAGCGGGTCATAGTTTAGGCGGCCTTCTTTGATTACGACAGTCGTGGATTGTTGACCCTGTATGAAAGGGTATGGGTGTCGTATTGGGCGGAGTATAATATATATTGATGAATGAGGCCCACAACTCCAGGTTCTCCATCCATCCCAGGGCGAACAAGATGTACAGAGATCTTCAACCCGATTACTGGTGGCCCTACATGAACTGAGATGTAGCTTGGTGCGTGGAGAAATGCATGGCCTGTAGGAAGGTCAAGGCAGAGCACTAGAGGCCTCACGACAAGATGCAACCATTAGAAATCCCCGTGTGGAAGTGGGAGGACATTACTATGGATTTTATCACTAAGCTTCTTAGGACCACATGTGGGGTCGATTCAATATGGGTCATCGTGGATCAGTTAACCAACATCGCTCACTTTATCACGATCTAGGAGAGCATATCAATCGAGAAGCTGGCTGAGATTTATGTGCCAGAGGTAGTGGCACGTCACAGAATGCTTGTCTTAGTGGTGTTAGACCGAGATGTCCGTTTTACTTCCAGATTTTGCAAGCGGTTTCACGACGAGATGGGTACTCATCTCCATTTCAGCACTGCTTTCCACCCCTAGATAGATGGACAGAGTAAGAGGACGATTCAGACTCTCGAGGACATGTTTCGTGCATGTGTTTTGGATTTTGGTGGCAGTTGGGATACATACCTTCCTTTAGCGAAATTTTCATATAACGATAGTTACCACGCCCGGCATAGACCGACCTCCCTTCAAGATGCTCTACAAGAGGAAGTGAAAGAACCCAATCGATTGGGTTGAGGCCGATTAGAAGGTCATGGGGAGTACACATATAGTACTCAAGACCACAGAGCGGATCCAGCAAGTCCAAAACAGGCTACAAACTGCTTAGGGTCGGCAGAAGAGTTACGCCAACAAGAGGCGTTCGGATTTAGAGTTTCGGGAGGGCGACTGGTCCTCCTGAAGGTGTCAACTTGGAAGGGTGTCATCCGGTTCCGAAAGTGAGGTAGCTGGGCCCCAGGTATATTGGCGCTTTCAGAGTCATCGTCCATGTGGGCAAGGTAGCGTATCAAGTGGATCTTCCACAGAGCTCAGTCAAATCTACAACACTTTCCATGTTTCCAAGATACGGAATTGTTTAGTGGACGACATGACAGTTGTGCCCTTAGAGGATATTCTGGTCGATCACAGCCTGAATTACATTGAGAAACCGGTGGCGATTCTGGATCGCAAGAAAAAGGAGTTGAGGAACAAGAGGGTTGAGCTAGTGAAGGTGCAGTGGGAGCACCGTAAGGGTTCAGAGTGGACATCGGAGCCCGAGGAGGAGATGAGGGAGCACTATCCGGAGTTGTTTCTAGAGGCAGAAGACTTCAAGGATGAAGCCTAGGACAAATGGGACAGAATTGTAATGCCTGGTACGCATTTCATTTAATTATTTATTATTTTTGAGAGAAGGACTCGACGATTTGGTGGCCCTAACTCATCGAGTAGAGGACAACCTATGTGCGGGGTTTATGTTATCGATTCGCTGAATCGACTCCCTAACTTGGTGAGTAGCCCGGCTAGGGTGAAACCCTAATTTCGGGGTTTTGTACTCTATTTAAGCATCCTAATCCCCACCCTTTAGCCTCATTTACAGCCACCTTATCCTAAACCCTAATCCACAAAACCCTAGAGCTTTTCTTGAGAGTGTGATCCAATTTTAAGTGATTTTTGTGCATTGTGAAGCTTGTAGAAGAAGAGGAAGATAGAGGGCTCAAGAGGGAAGGAATATATCCAGAAGCTACACTCCATTTGTTGCATTTTCTAGTAATCAAGTCTCTAACTTGATCATTCTTCTCTTAGATCTAGTTATTTCCTTTTTATGAGGGTTCTTGTTTAAGAGTCATGATCATTGGGTTTTGGACACCTCAAGTGTTTTATGTCCAGATCTGGGATCTAGGAGGGGTTACATGACATAAAGGTGAAAACTCTATGACCATGGAAGCCCCATGCAAGTTATGAGCAATTATATGGCCTTTTTGGCCGTAAAAGGGCCATGAATCGATGCAAGCTCGAGACTTAACATGCCCAAATAACATCAGGGGTTTAGATTTGAGGTGGTAAGATGGAGTTTTGTGTATGGAGGACTTAAGGACCAAGTTCTAGGTCCCAAGGAATTAGGGTCTTAGCTAAACCACCTAATAAGTGGAATTAATGGGTAAAGTCGGAAAGTACCCTTATAAGGGCATTTCCAATGAACAATTGAAGTATGGGCTTTAGATCTATAGAACAAGGGCTTAATCTATTAAGATGGACAAATAGACAGGAGGAATCGTCGAGTCCATAAGGGAACTCGATGAATCAAGTCGTGTTGTCCTATTTCAGTTTATGGGGGAACTCTACAAGTCTGTAGAGGGACTCGACGAGCCGAATCACCAAGTTGCGACTATAAAGAACTCAATAGGACTCGATGATTCGGAAGACCACGCGGCGAGTTGAGTCGCGATTCCAGGATTTCTAAGTTTTAGAACTCGACAAGTTGAAAGGTTGACTCGGCGAGTTGGTCAACCCAGAATGTGGATTTTGAATAGAGCGTTGACTTTGACCAGGGGTTAAATGGTCATTTTATCCTTAGATAGATTTTCAGTTTTTTGACTAAGAATTATTGTATAGAGTTAGTCGGGAGGTTGGAGAAGCAGCCAGTAGTGGTTCCTCACGCACAAGTTTAGTATCCAGTTTGAGAGGTGAGCTTTCCTTCAGTAGGAGTGGGTCTAAGGCACCAAGGCCAGCCCGTACTTGTGATATGTTAGTATTTGAGTGTGGATGGGGCCCAAATCTCATAGCATTACTTGAGAATAGTTATATGATGGTTTAATAGATATACTCGTTGTCTGTGTGATACTTGTATGCATGTTAGGAACAGGGTGTGGGTAGGGCCCGAATCTCCTAGACAACAGAGTGTGGGCGGGACCCGAATCTCCCAGACAGTGGAGTGTGGGCGCGGGGCCCGAATCTCTCAGACAGCAGAGTGTAAGCGGGGCTCGAATCTCCATGAGAGTGGGCGGGGCCCGTATCTCCAAGTTGCATGTTATTTGGATGGTATGTGGTAGTTTGGGGAGCTCACTAAGCTTTGTGCTTACAGTTTTCAGTTTTGGTTTTTGGTACTTCAACTAGCAAAGGGAAGGGCTCAGGATGATCGCATGTGGTGTTTCTAGCCTGGGATATTTCACTTTGATATTTGACATGATATTTTAATACTTGACAATTGTTATGATGATTTTGAGATACATTGTTTGTAATGATTAAATGATGGTGATATTTATGTTTTAAATAAGGAATTAAAAACAAAAATTTTGGATCGTATTTTAGGGATGTTTCATGAAACCTGCTAATATAGGTTAGAGGGACTAAAAAGACAGATCACTTTAAAGTTTGCTCCCACATAAGGTTTGAAAATAACTTAAGGAAATGAATGAGTAAATGTGAAATACATAATAGGGCTAATGTATCATTTTCCTTTATATTATTATAGGGTTATGTATGTAAAAATCAATAAAATAATATGTAATATTTATGGAGCGTATTTTTTTTTTTATTAATTTTGTTAGACACCTACCAACTTTTATAAGGAGTTAAAGGAAATTTATGATGCTTTTAGGTGTCTAGATTAATAATCTAAAGATTACAACTAAGTTAACAACATACAAGTAAGTTAATAACATAGTATTTTCTACAACTAAGTTAACAAAATAGTACTTTCTGATTATTTTTATAGAAATTTACTTTTTGTTTTTTCATTTATATAGAGATGTACTTTCTATATTTTATGTAATTTGTGTATTATTATGGTTAACTGATATTAACCATTAACCAAAAAACATTAGCTGAATCATTTACTAACCAACACCAATGGTTATCGAGACGCATTAACCGATTATAATGGTTATGTTTGGTTTTGTCCAATAATCGAATCAAACCGCCTTATATATACCCCTAAATAGTAATGGATCAGGATTGAAATTTTGGCATATCAAAATTGTTCTAATATGTTATTATTACGATGTAACATATATTTGACTGATAACTAACTCGAACTCGTAAATTGTTAACAATTTACGAGTTCGAGTTGGTTCAATGGTGCACCTGGTTTCTTAAGTTATAAAATACATTAACAACAATTTTGGCATATCAAAATAGTTCTTATATGCTATTATTAAGACGTAACATAGATTTCACTGATAACTAACTAATATATTCATATGTTTTTGAAACTAATTATATATTTATTGTAGTTTAAAGGAGTTTAGTTTTCGATTACCATATATATATATATATATATATATATATATATATATATATATATATATATATATATATATATATATATATAATGTGTGTGTGTGTTTGTGTGTGTGAACTTAAAGGCTTCAAAATCCCGAGAACTATTAATCCACTTATCATTTTTTTAAACATTTTTCAAAACGAACACAATAGTGAGATTCTAATAATAATGTTTAAGAGAATTACAACCTGAAAAAATCAAAAGAATAACATAGAAAGCATAAATATTAACTAGGTAAGTTACCCCGTGTTGCGGGGTCTGTGAGGTCAGATGTGAGCTTTTTTTTCGGTTGATTAACTCGTAATGGGATTAATAGTAAACTGAAAAACACTCGTGTGGTTTGATTTTGACATATTGTAACGACCATGTTGTCCTTGGAGCTGTTTAATTTCCACATTGTTTTCAATTATCCCCGGAAGGTTAACAAAAATAATTCCCATTGGCATAAGTTTTCTAGTAAAAGATGGACCCATTACCTGTTTATCACTGCCTAATTTCTGGCTAGAAACCACTTTGAGACCTTTTTGCATGATAATGGCAATAAGTAAGACCTGCATAAACCTTGTTTAGAAGTACATATGTCAGTGACATTCTCAAACCTGTAAACAAAACAATAACAACAGAAGTTTGATTAAAATCTATAGAGTATAGAAAGTCCATAAATACTAATAACACCAATAATCCTTGATTAAAGAAATTACACATAGACACCCTTTGACAGTAGGATGTTTGCAAAAGGCCTATGGAAATTATTCCTGACTATAGATGGGATAAATTAATGGTCTATTCCAATGGAATAGACCATTCCATTCCAACTTCGAATCTGTCATACCAAACACTACACCAGTTCCTTCAACGTATCTTTAACTTTTTCCAATGCTCCAATTTCATCAAATGTTACTCCAATGTCACTGGGAAGAATCACATCTGCTAGAAGCCTTTTCTTAAACTCATTTTCCATTACAACATCCTATCATTATTATTAATATTATACAAATAAAAACTGTTAGCAAATTTCATATAAACTCCAAATTTCTTAAACAGTAAGGTAAGAATAACATCACCTTTAAAGATTTCTTCAAGCTGTTGGATTCATTCTGAACTGCTTGCATATTTTCAATACGGTATTGTATGCTGCCAAATTGACAATTACATATTTTACTACGATTCCCTCTAATATAAGGCTAAATTACAATATCATTAAATATATTGCAACCTACTATATTATTTTTATTAATACCAATACGTTACACGGAACATACTTTCTTTATCTTTTATACTACCTAGTGTCCATCCATGTATTTACATTTCTTTACCCACGATACCAACATACTTATACTTATTTTACCAATAACAACCACAAACTTATTTATTGTTTAGTCATATTATTTCAAAAACAACATTTACAACTTCTAAAGAGCAATAGTAATACATGTTGCTATTCCCACACCAGAATTTGCTCAAAATAGAAGACTAAGATTAGGTGAGTTTTAATAGGAAGCCTCTCATCCGAGAGAGCAAATCTCGCCTCTTCGTCAACTTGAGCGTGTTGCATTAGATGATGGCTTAGAGCCCATCCAACAACCTTCTTAGCACCTTCAATAATAATAATAATAATAATAATAATAATAATAATAATAATAATAATAATAATAATAATGCCAAAACATTTAAATAAGAATTCAAAGATTCTCAAAACACATCTTACATTGAAGGAAATGACATACCTTTGTTTGTAAACAGCAACACATAGCTTTAGAAATATACACAATCATAAAAGAAGTAGAATCTTTATATTTGAACCCCAATTGTCAGAAAGCGCATGTAATATTCATGGACGTTACCCTTTGTAGTTCACCTTGACCATCTTGCCCCATTGATTGAAACCTTCTTCTACCCAACACCAAGCGTTTGCCTAGTGCTAAATCAATAAGATATATAAAAATGGATTAAAGGGAAGCCATTGTGGTAATGGACTAATTTATATGCAAAGGTTTTGGCTTTATTCTTACCTGATTTGTTGTTGCTGGTTAAAGAGTTTACCATAGCTGATCAAGTCCACAAATCGGCTGTTTCCCATGCTCGAGATATGTTTAACAATGTCAATCCTAGTTCTTGTCCAAATTGATAAAATAAATCATTATCATATGCAGCTCCTTTCGCTTTCATCACAAAATCTTGGAGCAATTTTGACTTTAAAGGTCAAATCATTGTATCTCAGAGTTTTCAAATTTTTCATACTTATCTATTGACCACATGATAAATCCCAATCAAATTAGCATAATTCTTGGACGAAACAAAAGGTAAGAAACTCATAACCTGCTCAATCACTGATCCATTTGAGAGATCGAAAGCAGCATCATTGAGCTACACAATTTCCACTACAATTCATAACAATAATTATTAAACTATAAAGACTTCCCAGATCGTGAAAAGTAATCAGGTTGAAGACTGAAACTATCCTACAAAACCCAACATAATTACATCAAATACTCGTAAGAAACACATATATAAAAACCAATCAACAAAACCCACATAAGAATTAGGGTTTAGATCAATGTTATTGTCTGAAAGGGTTATATGAGTGTTTGAAGATTACAACGACTTCTTGAAGGAGGGATTGTGGGTCAGGTGGGTCGACGGATTATATGAGTTGCATGTTATTTGGATGCTAAGGAGTTGGCAAAACCGATCATTTCTTTATTGGAGTTTGTTATCTTCTTTTGTTGAGCCTTTTTGAGCATGTATAAACATAAAAGAAACTTAAATAAACGAACATAAATAAACATAAAAAACGTTTAAGAATATAATTGAACGAACAAGACTATTGTTCGTGTTCATCCATTTAATTAAATAGATAAATATATGTGTTCAATACTATGAGTAAAGGACATCTATCTTATAATATTACATACCTAACAAAATGATTTATATTTATTTAAAACTCAAAATATTTTATTAAATAATAATGTATTATAATGAAGTTTTAGTAATTTTTGTATTCTCATAAATAGTTGTTTGGGATTGACCACCTAAATTGGGGCATGCCACGTTCCTTGTTCAGTACACAATGGCATGTACATAGTACGAACCAAAATGTAGGGTCAAGCTTCACATGCTAATGATGGTTTTACATCGCCCCAGTAAGACCCACAACAGCGATTATTCCCATCCTTAAGTAAATATCTCCTAAATATTGCAAATATTTAAGCGGAATCTAAATGCCACAAATTAATTTATTCGAAAAAAAAAAGGTTAAATTTTTAAAGATCAATGTTCATATTATATTATGATTGTATAATAATAAACGACGTTCGGAGTAAAGGCCATATGTCATTGATACCAAAGAGTAATGTCAGCAATAAACGAGAATAATCTAACAAAAAAATCATAATATTTGAGTGGTTATGTCAATGTTGTAGTGACCATAATTACCATGTGTGAAATTCTAAAGATCTAACGAATCATGCAAATATCAAGAACATAAAAAATAAATAAACACGTTTAAGGTTCATTAGAATGGTAAGGTTAGACGAAGTGAGTGTGGGAAAGGGGTGAGGAAGCTTCCCTCACTCCTGCACACCACTCTATGGGTGAGGGAAAGAACGGCGGGAAAAGAAGTGTGGGGAGGGGGTGCCGCACTCTCTCTCCTCACGCTATTGGCCAGTTTTTTTTTTTTTTTTTAATCTTTTCTAATATTTATAAAATTATGTACCTACTATAAAAATATAAAAAATATATCAAATTTCATGGTTTTTAATTCCCTACAAAATGAGTATAATATATGTATGAAATATATTAAAAAAAAGTGAAGGAAGGGGTTCCCACCCATTCCTTGGCTTTTAGGTGAGGGAAAAAGAGGTATGGCCCACCAAAAGTGAGGGAAGAGTCCCTCCCACACCCTCCGGTCTAAGAATACAATTATGTTTTGTTATTTCTCTCACTAAACTAACTTTTAAAATGGATCTTAAATAATAGGAGTCACTTACTTCTTATTTGTAGAAAGACTCAACTCATTACATATACAAAATAGTATGTTACATCCAAGGAGAACTTTACACCATAACATTTTCCCCCTCAAATTTAAGATTGGATGTCCCGACTTCAGTTTCCAAACAAGCTCGTGCGATCAACAAGTTGTTATAAAACCCACAAAGGATGAGAAGCATTCGAGGAATAAACTTCACGAAACTCCCCCTCGATGTGTGCCAAAAATGCAACCGTAAAAGTCTTGCATGAAAAACAATCACGAAAAGGCAAGAAAATTTTCCATATTTTTTGAAGATTTTCGACTTTTTGGTGAGTTGCAAGAATTTAAAAAACAGGGTAATAATTGTCAATTTTGTAATTCTGCAGGGATCCGTTAAGCCAAAAAAGCTTTCATTGTGAACCTTTACCCTAAATGTGAAATTGAGCATAACATGACAATTCATATAAGCTTCATGGACCATATGTAACACCATGTTCCGTATCGTTTCCTAATTGGGGTGTGGCCCGAATATCGGTTCTTTTCAGGCTTAGGGCCTGTGGGGAAATAGAGATTTAGACTCATTTAGGTGTGGGTAATGAAACTTAGATGATCTGGGTGTTTGGTTTGTGTTTTGGAACCAAGGGGTATATCGGTAAAGTATCGGTTTGTGCTTTTATGGAAATTGGGTTTTAGTTCGGGAAGTTTTAACGCAACTATGAGTTGATAGAAGCGTACAGCTCCTCGTTACCTTCCGTGGATATAAGGATTGTTAAAAACGGACTTAGAACGAAGAAGTTATGGCATTCGTAAGTTTTAGTGGTTTTAAGGTGAAACAGAGTATGTGGGGCGTATAGAAGTGTATGCAGGGTGTACTAGTGTTAAGACCAGTACACGGGGTGTACATTGGTGGTACGATGGGTGTACTAAGCCGATGCATTGCGAGTGTTCTTTGGAGTACGCTTGGTGTACTAGAAGTACGCTGGGCATACTCCAGTCAGAACCAAACCCTAATTTAGGGTGTTGGACCCTATTTAAGCTCTTTAACTCACCACCAAACCCTATTATCTTCAACCTCCATCCCTACAAACCCTAGAAACGAAACCCTAGCCCATATTTGAGTGGTTTTTTTTGGTGTTCATATAAGAAGAGGGAACTTCTTGGAGAAGCATGGGATCGCTTGAAGCTTTTAGATCCAGGCTTATTGCATCTTGATCTACATATTGGAGGTATAAAGTTTCTATCTTGATGAATCTATGTGTTAGATCTAGTTTAATGAGTATTTTGGGGTTCTTTTGGTCCTTAGAGTCGTCGTTGTGAGTATGAGCTACTCCAAGAGCTTAGAATGTTGGATCTTGGTCTTTGGGAGGTCTCTTGTTCATAAAAATGTCATCTTGATGAGTTATTGTGGTGCATGCATGAGTTTGGGTGACTATTATGGATTGTAGTAGGGTTTTGGTCCCATTAAGCCATGAAAATGAGTAAAGTTGCAAACTTTACGTGTTAATACATCTCATTAGGTTTATATCCAAGTTTGCAAGTCATTTTCTTCACCATGAAGAGCTTATTTTGGATTTTTGGACCTAGAGGAGTACGTCAGCGTATACAATTGTACGCTCAACGTAATGATGATTTTGTGCATCTGGGACTTGTACTTTGTACTTTTATAGCGAGTACGCGGGGCGGACTCCCCAATATGTCATTTTGGGATTTTTTTTTTTTAAGTTTGGGCCTTGTTGGGCCATTAGACTTCTGACTTTGGGCCATAGATGGACGTAGGGTTTTCTTGGAAGTAGGTCCATGATGGTTTAAGGGCCCAATCGGGTTATTGGGCTATAATGGGCTTTTGTTCCTTTTGATTTGGACATTGGTTGTGGAACAAGTAACAAAAGGGTAAAATGGTCTTTTACCCTTTAGGAACTTGGTTTATGGACTGGGCCTCGAATTTTGGGTTATCGGGGTAATTATTGATTAAGATTCTATTTATTGTTAGTTTGCGCGAGGTTATCCGGTTCAGCGACTCAGTCAGTTATTTGGCTATCAGCAGACTCAGGTGAGTTTCCACACTGTGTTTGGCGGGTTGAAGGCACCAATTCTGGCCCATGATTGTTATGCTTAGGATGCTAGATGTTTGTGTAACTCTTGCTTAGGTTATGTGTTTGCATGTTCACTGGGCAGAGCCTGATGCCAGGTGGGGCCCGATGACCATTCTATATGTTATTTATCTTTGTTATTACATGTGTTATGTGTTAATATGCTTATCAGGAAAGGTCGTGTTCCTGGGCGGGACCTGATGACGGTATTGTATGCTATTGTCTTTGTGATTATCGCATGTCTTTGTATGATTAAATATTATATGTGTTTATTGTATACTAGGTGGGGCCTGAGGCCAGGCGAGGCCTGATGACTGAAAAATTTATTTACCGGGCGAGGCTCATTATATGTTTGATATGTATAGTGTGTGATCTTTTGGGGAACTCACAAACCTTTGTGCTTACTATTTTATGATTATGATTTAAGGTACTTTCGGTTCGAAAGGGAAAAACCCAACTTGATCGCAGCGCATCCATCGTGTTTCAGCATTATGATTATTTTGGGATTGTACTCTGATAACTGTTTTCATACAAATTAATTTTGAATATTATGAAAATGAATATTGAATGTTGACTTAAGATAATTACTGTTTTCGTTGGATTAAAAACGAAAATTTTACCTTATAATTTTGGGATGTTACAAGTTGGTATCAAAGCCTTGGTTTGAGAGATTCGGGCATGCTATCGAGTGTGACTAAACTCAAACTGAGGAATATGTAATTTTTCTTTAAAAAAAAGGTCTTAAAGAGATTTTGAAAAAGGAAAGAAATTTCTAAAAGGATTTGTGGTAAAGAAAAAGAGTGTGTGATGCTTGCAATCGACCGAGCTCAAGTAAGTTTTCCCAAAATACCCACACATGTTATGTTATATGATTTGATTTATGAATCTTTGAACTGCATGCTAGTTAGGGCTAAGGATCTACTCAGTGTTTGCATGATAGGATGCTAGGAGAGATGCTATTGTATGCCACATCGGCTGGGAAGGAGAACTAAGCATTCCTTATAAGGGGTGTGGATACCTTCCCTAACACAACGCGTTTTAAAGCCGTGAGGGCAGCAGATCCCATAAGAACTCTACAGTTAAGCGTGCTCGGGCGGGAGTAGTACCAGGATGGGTGACCCCATGGGAAGTCCTCGTGCCGAGTGGCCCAAAGCAGACAATATTGTGATACGTGCTAGAGGGGGATGTTACAATTAAGATGATCATAAAAGTGATACTAAAGTACTCTCCCATCTTTTCAGATTTGAGAAAT